GTAGCAAAGGGATTCAGAGGCTGCGTTGCCCACTTGGGTATCCCTTTCTGGTAATTAATTATGAGCTAGCGTCTTAGGTTTTTGTTTGTTTGCTTTTTCTATTCACCGGCTTCTGCAGCTCTTGCTGGAGGAGACAGCTGGTGTTAACTGCACAGCGTTGTAGTGGAAACCATCTGGGATGTCCTCTAGCAAATTGGGTAGCAAAGAAAGGCCAAGTGTAGAGAATGTGGTTTGGTTTGGGGTTGGCTTGGTTTGTTTGTTTGTTTTATTTTGGGTTTGTTTTTTTTTTTTTTTCTCCTACCCTGGAGGAAAACACAAAGCATTTATCGTTGCAACACTTCTACCTGAAAAATTGCTCTGGAAAGAGTTGTAGCACCTTCTGTTTTTTTCCAAACATTTGATTTGGTTTCCCCCCACCAAGTTAAACTTGGAGCTGACAGCTAGAGACACCTCCATAACTAAGACTTGGCTTAGAGCCATGGGGAAACCAACCCACCATTGGCTTATAAACGTACTTTGTATAAGTTCCTAAGAGCTATAGTTTAAAAACTGTTCCACGTGATGGTGTTTGTGCCCCTTTGTAGTCACACACTGTAATATGGACGAGTATAGCTCAATTAATATGCCTTATTAATAGACGTTTTCTATGTATTACAGCCCTATATGCTGTTCTGCTTTCCTCTGTCTACTGGCTTTATGACTTCCAGTCGCAGATGTGTTATGCCTCCTTCTCTGCCCCCCTGCGTCCCTTCCCCATCTCCATAGGGAAAGTTTCAGGCCTTTCTCACTTAGCAAACTGTAGCTTCAGCCACCATATTTTAAGACTTGGCTTGAATCTTTGGACAGGCAAAATGGGGTCATTCATCTAAAGACCATCTGAATGACTGACAGTTCTGTAAAACAAAGACCTCCTGCGGAGGAGATGGGTGTACTAAATACAAGAAGTGGAGTCAGGTGGCAATCAATCAGATCTGCATGCTCAATTTCTAAGGGTTATCTTGAGAGCTGGGGTTTGGATTGGCATTTTGGATGGGGAAGAGGGGGAGGGGCAATCCCCAAGAATAGACATGGTGCTAATTAATTGAACAGTTTATACAGGCAGAAAGAAAAAGTGTGGCAGAAGAACTGTAGGCCAAAAGGGAAGCAGCAGGCTGAAGCCGAACTGGTCAGTCACCCTGTCCTTCCATGCCTGTTTATAAAATTAAAATGGAAAGATCTGAGCCTTTGTAGTTGTAAACAGACTCTTTGGGATCTGCATGTTTTCTTCACCTTCTTATGGTGCCTCTTTTGTTTCCATCTGTTTTAACTTTGTTTCCCAACAGAAGAGCACATGCAAAGGAGGAAAGGAAGATTGATTGGAGATTGGTATCACATACTTTTGAGTTGCATCTTCTTGTAGCCCTGTGAGCCAATAAGCCTTGATTTTGGGGTAGACCGTAAGAAAATATCACTAGATGTTTTTCCAGTTTCATCCTCAAGAGCTAAGGAGTGATTTACCAAGTGGACATGACAAGACACATGCATCATAGAGGTGGGAAGTAAATACATTCTGAATTTTTGCCTCTCTGCAAAGGTACTAACAAACAGAACACTAGCTTTGCATGCTCTTCGGCTGTTTGCAGAGCAAACTAACACCCTGATCTGTAAAAGGCCTCACAAAATTAAGCACCTAACAGGCTAGTGGGATGTAGTTTGAAATTCATAGCTGAAAAGACAGAGGATACATCACTTCCCTGCTTGGCTGTTTATTGCGTAGCTGCTTGATCCATGTATCTGGTTGGTGAAAAGCAACAAGACATATAGCCTGCAGCTGGCTTGTAGATCGTGTCCTGTATTTCTCACTTCCTAAGGACTACCAAACAAGTCTGCTTTTCCTTTTCACCATCTTCACCTTAGCCCAAATGCCTTGGCTCCAGTTGGCTCTGTTCACTGTTTGCCCTTGCATAAATTTCGTTGTCATGACATCACAATCATTACCTCTTTGCTCCATGGCAATGGCTGAACTTCGTGGATGGAGTGGTCGGAGGTAGAGAAAACACATCTTGAACTCTGGAGGGAAACTGGGGGAGCTGGGAGAGTGTTCAGGGAGCTGATTATTTACGCAGTCCAGCCTTGAGAGTGGAACTGGTAACTTCTTGCACTGTGGTGGTTTACTTACATGTTTTACCACTACCCAGTTGGTCTTCTGACTTGCCAGCCTTCTCCCTGTCCATTGGAGCACAATGACTGAACATCCTGCTTGAACCAAATGATGGAACGGCTTATATTGGTTATTACTCTCCACAGGGATTGTACCTTAATCTATGGCAGGGTACTACCTCAGATGATTGTCATGGAACAAGTACCCGAGAAGGATAAGAAAAGTAATTTGTACTAGGTTTGCGCTGGCAGTACTGTTCAGATGTGTACAGCCCAAAACACTGGATACTTTTAAACACTAGGCATCAGGCCACAAACCATTACCAATTTAGCTGATGCTAAACAAGTTTCTAGAGGCTCTGTCTGCTCTATCAGCAGCTGATACTATTTCACTGTTTAGCTAGACTGAAGGCCAGAAAGTTAAAAGATGTGTCCTGTGCTTGTACTGTGATTGTTCTTCACTCTTTTTTTTTTTTTCCTTTTGCTTTAGATTAGACTATAGTTTAGACCCGAGAGTTTGTTTGACCCTGACAGCTTGAGTACACAAGCAAAGAAAGGATTGTTGTTTTTTCAATGTGAAGAAGCAAACTTTCACCCATTTGCTTGGAAGCCTATTCTGTTGGGAATGGCAAGAAATCTACCCACAGCTTTCATCATCTATGTTTGGCTCAACAACAAGAAAAGAAGTAAAAAACTGTCTTCTCAATGGAAAACAACAGTGAAGCTGAGCAGAGCCCATGGGCTCATTTACCTGATGTCTGTCTGAGGCATGTCTTCCATTGGTTAGACAACAGGGACAGATCTCAGGCCGCCTTGGTCTGTAAAAAGTGGACTTGGGCCATGCACTCAGGATCTCTCTGGAGAAGCAGAACCATCACATTCTATGGCTGATCATCAAGGCCATAGACATTGGAGTTTCAAAGTGCACTGTGGTATGTCAAGAAGTTCGGCAAGTATTTGGAACACCTTGAGATCAAGTTACCAAATCTTACAATACTGCCTTTACCCAAAAATTTCAAGTGACTATGAGAGGTCTTCTTTTACATCTGCGTAGGTGTAACAAGTTGCCTAGTACCCCTGAGCATTGGGTACCTGGAAATAGACCGCTTGATTTGGAAAAATTTGGTCAGGGCTTGGTTTATCAAGAACTTAGCTACCTTCCTAAAAAGAATGAGCAAACAGCTTGATTTTCTAAACTTGAGTAAGAGCAACCTTGGAAGAAGGCAGTGAACTTCTGAATTCTCTGAGCTGCTTGACAAATAAAAGCTTTATATCTGAAGTCAATATTGAGGATTTCTTCAGTCTCCACCTTCCTGTCTACAGCAGCACCTTGTTCCGCCAGACTGTGTCCAAGTTCCACAGCCCGGTCACCCTGACTTTCAATTATAACTGCATCTCTGATAAACTGGTGGACATCCTGCAGGAGCACAGTGGTCATTCCCTGTGCAGCTTGAATATCAAATGTCATATCCGTGACCCTCATGAGTGAGTGGTCTGGGGAATGTCATGGACAAACTTGGTCAAGAGAGACCCAAAACTGAACGTGAACTTCTTCGAAAGAGTCATGAAGCATGATCACCTAGCCAGGATCCTGCTAGTGGAGATCCCAATCAGGAGCATCATTCTATGGAACTGCTATTATTTCAGTGACCCAGACTGGATAATGAGACTTACCCTCACCAAACTCTTCCCAGCATACTGGCATGTTCTGCAGGTAAGGGAAACAATAATGACATCTTATTGCAGTATCACAAAGCTAAGCAACGTAATCATATAGGCCTTCCGCATAACAGCAGTCATCAATAGGAATTCATGACTGCCAGACCACAGAGGATCATTTTCAGCAGTGAGCCATTCTGGTGTTCCAGCTATAGTCTAGTTCAGGTAATTATCCTTATCCAGTTACAGTCCCCATTATGCTAGTCTTTGCTGTCAGGCTGATGTCAGGTTGCCCTCAGAAAAAGCCACAACACCTGAAATACTGGTGGTTGTAATGTCAGCTTTGAGCAAAAGGAACCTTTCAGGTGGGAAAACATCATTTTTGTAAGAAAGCTTTAGGCTTATTCTGGTTAGACACTTTCATGTTTAGTAACTGATAACTTCCTTATACTTTCAGATTTTTCTGAACCCCACCCTTTTGCAGGGAAATCTGCATATGAGGCAAATAGTCTGTACACCTTGCTTGCTGTCCTGGTTTCAGCCAGGATAGAGTTAATTTTCTTCATAGAAGCTAGTGTGAGGCTATGTTTTGGATTTGGGATGAGAAAATGTTGATAACGTGCTGATGTTTTGAGTTGTTGCTGGGTAGTCAAGGACAGTCCAGCTTCTCGTGCTGGCCTGCTAGCAAGAAGGCTGGGGGTGCATGGGAAGCTGGGAGCGACACAGCCAGGACAATTGACCCAGGCTGGCCAAAGAGATATTCCATACCATATGACGTCATGCTCAGTATATAAAGCTGAGATGAAGAAGAAGGAAGGTGTGGAGGGATGTTTGGAGTTATGGCATCTGTCTTCCCAAGAAACCACTATGTGTGATACAGCTCTGCTTCCCTGGAGGTGGCTGAACACCTGCCTGCCCATGGGGAGTAGTGAATGAATTCCTTGTTTTGCTTTACTTATTAAACTGTCTTTATCTCAAACCATGACTTTCCTCACTTTTCCGATTCTCTCCCCCGTCCCACCATGGGGGAGTGAGTGAGCAGTTGCATTGTGCTTAGTTGCTGGCTGGGGCTAAACCATGACACTTGCCTACAGAGCTGTAGCCTGCATCAACCTACACTGATGGTTTTGCTCCATTTTGGCAATGCACAGATGTCTTACAGCACATGTAAATTAACTGGTGCCCATGTCAAAGCACTTTGGTGTCACCAAAGGTGTGCAAAAACTGACCCATGTAAATGAGCATCAGGTCTTTGCATGCCTGAGAGAATCACACAGCCTTATACCTGACAGTTGCTGACAGCTTAATCTTTACATTCTGTTGCATTGCAGAGTTTCCAGTAAACACGAGAGATCTGTAAAGCTTTCTAGAAATCGTCTTTAGATCTACTCTCATATCTGGGATAATTTCCAATATGTCAAATAAGATCATGGCATGAGCTGTGGGTGTAGCATCTTCTAATGGTAATGGAAGTTGTCTATCTCTTAGGATGGTATATAATGCACAAGGGATCCCCTCTATCTGAATAGGAAAGTGGAGATTACTGTAGCACATACTGTTGTCATAATACAAAACTGATTCTCTGCTAATGTCAAGGTACAAAATTGATCTGCTGACAGTCACTTCTGTTGGTAAAATTGGGACACTTTTGTTTATTGAATTCTAGTTACTGCACTCACAGGCTCTGTTCAGTAGTACTAACAGTGCTCATTCTTTTTCAAGGAATTAACACCTGAATTAAACAATGATCATGAGCTGCTGGATGATGAGCTGCTACAGCTCATCTTGTCAAGCAAGAGGTTGTTATTTCTGAGCATCTGGGCATTTCCAAGTGTCACCTTGGAGAGACTGCTACAAAACCGTGCAGAAAGGAAATGCATTTTGACTATCGTAAAGGTAAGACTTTGTGCTTCAAAACTCCCATTCCCTTCCTCTCTCCAATACCCATGTCCATAGAAAGGTCACTTACGGAAATCTTAGCATTATAATGAGCCTGAGAACCACTCACAGAAAGGAGGCTTTCGAACATACTTAGCCATGTACAGAATACTATAGAAGTTTAATAACAAGCCCCAACAATTCCACAAGTCCTTCCTAGACTGGGGTTCCCTTTGTCACCTCTAGTTCAAGCTAGGGATTGTCAGTCACCTTCCAGGCCCAGTGCTTATGTCTATGCTTAAATTGAGGCATGTGGGTTGAATCCCACTAAATTTCAAAAAGATATAAACACATCTCACTTCAGGGATGCTGTGTTGAACTGGGATCGGACCACAGCTGTAGCTGATGTAAACCGTGCTGTCATGCTACTTTGCATGCTAGATTCTGAATTCAGCAGATGCTCCCAGATCTGTGCAGGTCCCAGCGATACATCAGTTCTGGGGGCAAAAGGAACCTTGCTTTTCCCAAAAATTCTTTGGGAGGAGATAATGTTTTCAGTCATTTTTGAGTGAAAACAGAGTAAAACTTCAAGATTTTACTCAAAACCAAGGAATCTGGCTTCTCTATATTCCTCATTAGTCACAGAGGCTTCTTGTTGTTGCAAGATTCAGTGGGCTGAGCCTGCTCCATGTATCTGAGACACGATTGTCATTCATGCATACAGGTCAGGATTTACACAGCCCAACAAGAGGCCAGTGAGGAGGATCGGCTGCTGTGTGATATTTACAGGAAGTTTAAATACCTGATTGACTCAGAGCTTAATTATTTTGTCATCACCTACCCAATCCACAGGGAGAGAGAAGAACATCCAGTGACCATCCAGATACCATTACAGCAAGAGAGAGGCAAGGGACAATTTCACACCGCATGCATTAAAATGTTGGACTTAGGAACCAGCCTCCTGTGTCTCCAGCATCATTTATTCTTGCCCTTGCTTTGTTTTTCCTTATCAGAACCAAAGGAAGCAGTGAGCCCTTTTCCATCCTTACAGGCACCTCTAGTAAAAATAAGGCTTTCCTCTTTTTTTCAGCACTTCTCATTGTAGAACTTCAAACACATTACCAATGAAGCCCATCTCATTGTTTCCATTTTACACATGGGGAAACTGAGACACGGGGTAAGGAAGTGCGTAGCCCAAAGTCAGCCTTGGCTTGATCTTGACTCAGATGCAGTCAGATGCACTATCCAGTGTATCACCAGTCTCTACCTCCTGTTAAATTTGATATACACCCTGTGCCTAGTTCTTAACAGCAGACGTTAAGAACAAAACATACCATGGCTAGTCCTGGCAGTCACCCCTCCCAGTTGCCCAGCTTTCCAACAAGTGACTTATGATGAGACTCCTGATCTAGTTTCCACAGCTTCTAGACCTTTCAATGGCAAAAGATATCATTGGTTCCACATGAGATAAATAACATGTAAGGGGCATTCTTCTTATTCTGGAATTTTATTGACAAGTGGGAGATTTCATCAGGCGTTCTAGATCACAGATAACTGTGAAACAGATAGCTGTAAGTAGATCTGTTTTAATTACCTTGCACAAGTAGAACCAGGACAGCATTGAGCCAAACCCATAAATCTGGAGGTTTGTCAATAAAATTTCAG